AGTCCGAGACACAACGCCGATCGAACCCACTTCCGGTCTGTTAACTGTGTTCCTTAGATTCGATCGAAACTACTTCCGGTCTCAACCCTGCGAGCAAATTTGATAGTGTTGTTCACGCTCTGTTTGGTGGATCAATATCCCCTGTATATCGTTCCAGGGATACTTTTTATAATCTACCGTTGTCGTTTTCAAATTATAATTAGCGTGTAAACCACAGCCCAGAAAAACATCAAAGAATATCACTCAGTGGTTTTAATATCGTTAATGTTCCTGATTTATCACAAATATACTCTTGAACAATATATCACTTAATCCTCTTTAATCTCGGATGCCTATTAATCTGTCTTTATCTTTATATAAGCAACCAAAATCTACCACGCCCTCTCTGCACACGATGCTTAAACTCTGATATCTGATCCGAGAGCAAAATGATATTAATGTTTCAGAAACTATAATCTATTAACAAACAATCTTGATTCACGTGAATAAATTCGATTTTATAATTTCAAAATATCTTAATAGTTTGAATTTAACTTTCGCCCTAATTCATTTCTAATTCAATATCTTTAGTCAATAATGTTTTAGTTCAAAATCAAAAAAATTTCGCAGCATAGATTCAATTTATACTGTCACAGATTTTCCAAAAATTAAAAGTTTTGACGAAACAATTATTATCTCGTGACTCCTTTTGATCAAATTCCTTATCCGATGAGTTAACAGGAATTACAAAATATACCCCGTCTGTTAAACATCACTATTAAATACACGAAATGTCAGGAATTGCTGTATTTTCTGGAATACTTCCCAGCGACGCGCCTCTACACGTGGAATCGATTGAGCTGAGCTCGAGGGATATGTCCAACAACCTCCACGTTTAATAAATTTATTATAAAGAAGACAGATTTATTAGTTAATGAATATTGATGAAGTCCCCCGCGTATAAAAACCTTTTTTTATTAGCTCACGTTTTAATGTGTATTTCTCGTCAATCAAAGTCAATTACCAATAGATTTGTGTGTATGTATTTAGGATACAGGGCTTCCACGTGTTCAGCCTGCTTCCACCCCCGCAACTTTCTACCGCTGTGTTTACGGCACCGCGGCTAGATAAAGTCGACTTTGGTGTACTTACCTTCTATATAAATAAATATTAGATATATATCTATATATCTTTTTCAATTCTTAACTATATACAAATCGTGTTCAACCTGTGTTTATAACATATAGAATGAAACGAAAAAATATCAAACATATTGAAGAACAATACAATTACCAAGTCATACAAACGGAACAAAATGTCTAACGGTCATCATATTTAAATTGAGTCGCTATATTTAGGCATAATAATTAGAAAAAGAGCCCAAATTTTGTTCGAAAATAAATTCCTGGTTAAGCTATTTAGCCTAGTTCGTTTTTGCATGGGCGAGATTCTTGCATAGCCCGGACTCCTCTCGCAAGTATTTTAGGGAAACGGGTCTGGGCAGAATTGGTGTCATTTACTCATTTTTACACCTTCGCATTTTTTATGTTTCATATTTACACAAAATAGGAAATGTTTGTTATCAAGATACACTTCAAATATGTTTTTTTTCTTAAAGATTTGTATTATTAAACATACATTATGCAAGAGCTAAATCTGCCTATTGCAGGTCTTTCTTTACGTCTGGAATGTTATCTAAATTATTAATTAGACATTAATTAATTTATCCAGACCATAAGTCGCTAGGCTGCGATGTTTTTTTGGATTAGGTTCCGATTTGCTGTTCGACTTCCATTCATAATTAAATCATGAAATGGGTAATCAAGACTATGTTTTTTCATCGTACCGACTTTAGTAATGATGATCGAGGCTAGGCCGAAAATTCAATCATTAAAATCTCGGTTCATAGAGGATCAATTTGACTGAAATCTTCAGCAAATTGCTTTTACAGTATCTAGTTTTTAACTATTATAGTTAGAACTGCCAGCTCGTGATCTAATCTCCCATAATGTATCTTTAATGATTGAGTTTTTGGTCCTGGTGTTAATATTTTCTATGACGTAATTGTATTAATTGTTTTATAAACAATTAATTTAATAACCCTGAACAACAAAAAAACCGCCTCGAAAAATTTCAAATAGTTCGTGGTGATCAAATTAAACCAAACCAAAGCCACATTTACACAACACATTGGGAGCATATCAGGTGAGAACTGGTAGCAATTAGGTTCGGAAAGCGACACCACGGCCGACTCTTATGTCGAATGCCAACTGTCAAGGGCTCTTTTACTTGCACGCCAATGAATGCACGAGGCTTCGTTTTTTGTCCCATCCGAACGACTATACGTTGTCTATTTTTAGGCCCTCCGCCCCGCATCATCGATAAGGAGAACCACGCCGGAAAATACGATGAACTTCCGCCGCCAACACAGGGACCAAGAAGAGACGGGAAAGCGAGAGGGTTTAGTACGTCGGGATAAAATTGAACGCTGGGTGAACATTGTTTGGAATAGTTGCCCAGATGTGAATGGACACATAGGTAGGCCTAATAGACACACGCCATACCCTGATGCTGTGTAGATGATATATGTTTTATGCGACGATGTTTTAGAAATAAAATCAACATGCTTTGAATTTAACTTAAAATAAACATTTATAAGCTACAAGAGTGCATATGATATTTCCTTGACCCGACATAAAACTGGTATTAAACCATCATAAACTAATTCATATCTGTAAAAGGTGTCGATAAAATTGTACACCGATAACGAAGTACAAATAAATTCGGGCGTGCAGAAATCTTAAAGGTCTACTACATAAGCTAATTCAATCTAACATGATATTTCGTTTCTTGTTTTTTTTCTCCAGTTGTTAATATCGTACAGCCGTAGAACATCTTTAAAAAGTTTGTATTGATTGAGGCTTATGTAACCAATGGCTACAGGTTTCGTCACAGGTAAAGGCGGTTTTAACCAATGAAAGAGACGTAAATTAGATATCATCAAGGACAGCATCATTTAGCACACTGAGGGAACAACCTACTTCGAGAATAGACCTCTGCCCTAAATGGCCGCCATATCTAAAAATTGATATACTATTTTGTAATGCGGTTCTACCCCATTTCACATCTGTCATACACATAAAGACTAAGTAAAATTTGTGTAGTCTAGGACATACTTTTCAAGATTCGTGAAGTATGCTGTGTGACTTCGATTAAAATCGTTTATTTAGGATTTAAAATGCAGGTCAACTATATGGGAACTATAGGTGAATAAAATTCCGCATAGTGCATCCCAATCATTATCACACTGCACGCCATATCCGGACTTCATTATCCCGGTTGGTGCAGAAAAGTAGGACGTTAAACCCCATTTTATTTCATTGTCATTCCCCCACTGCTAAAACCCCTAAGCGCTAGCATATGTTAGTCCAGAAATGATTTAGCTAGTTTGTGTCGAGTGGACGTTAAACTCCATTTTTCTCTCTCTGTTCTGATTCCCAGGTTGTACGTGACAAGGAGTAGGGTCGCCTGTCCAACCTCGTGGGTTTTCTCCGGGTCCTCCGATTTCCTCCCACTGCTAAAGGCCCCTACGCGCAAGCGAATTATTGAAATAAAATTCAACCATGTGTTAGTCCTGAAATGACCTAGTTTGTGTCGAGTGGACGTTAAACCCCATTTCTCTCTCTCTATCTCTAGCTGTCTCCCCCCCCCCCCGCCCATCTCAGTAACTTTAAAGTGGTATTCGAAATGTATGAAATGTATATATATTATCGGTTGTTTGTTTTTTCACTAATGTTTTAAATACTACAGATTGTCTACTTCACACTCAATAAATATAATCATTATAGTCTCATTTATATTCTACATTATCTTTAACACAAACCCACCCTAACTCACTAACATTTAAACTTACTGACGCCCCAAAACTCAAATATGTCCAACAAACACGACGAGCGGTTCAGGAAATGGGTGTAGGTTTAGGGTCAGGCGGCCATATCGTGATAAACTAGATGAACTTATACAGGAATATATTACAATAGAACTATTCTTTATATCATGTAAAATATTTATTTAAATTTAGAAAGTTAGCCAAAAGGCCCTGGAATTATATACAACTGTCTTCCGTTCAAGAAATGTTCACGGTTCATTTTTGGATTTTGCTTTAGAAGGATATTATTTTTATTATACCATGACAACGGGAAACTTGCGGTATTTTCACTTTGGGCATTTTTGTCGGCAAATGTGGCTGATGTCCATTGCTCCGTGGGTAGTCATTGGCAAGTAAATTAGGCTCCGGAATCTTTGCTCCTGTTGGCTATAAATAGTAACGAGGATTGTACACGAGGCAGTGTTTGCTTATTTGCTTACTATTTTATCCTTAGATTCTTCTCTCCAGCGTCGTACACGTTACCATAGAAAAGTGTATTTTGGTCATTATTTTTTTCTATTTGTTCCGAACAATTTTTTTGCGGTTTTTATTAATTAGAAACACGTGAGTGTCTGCTTAAACTTCGTCAAATTCCAATTACCAAGGCATCTTTTATTTGCTCTATCGCATCGTAATCGAACAAAGAGACACACATTCTTTATTATCGCCATGGGCTGTCCGAATTGGGAACACAAAACCATTGGGTTCCACTACCACCAAGCTATCATCATAAACCGGGGAATTCTTGTAGTCGTGCGTCCACACTTTTAGCAGTTAAAAGTGCTTTACTTAGTTGGTTGCTTGGAGTAAATGTTTACCAATAACAGAAAACGTCAACCAACAACAAAGCCACTAAGTCGCACACCGGAACCAAACAACCGAAGCGGGTAAACATTACACATTAAGGATGTCATTATCCCGAAACCTGACTGGCAGCTCAAAATAATTAACGAAAATCAACAAACAAACTAAAATAAACAAATAAATTGTCGTTGTCAATAAAACCAACTCCTACAGCATGCCTGGTTGTTGACAAATGACTTAAAACACCGTCTTAAAAAACATCCCAATTCTCTCAACCCCATCTCTTGACGTCAATAATTTAAAACTAACGTTACTAGAGCGAGAGGAACAAGTTTAGTTTTATTTTTTGGAGGAATATTTGACGACAAACTGCTATCATCATCATCATGTTACGATATGTGATTTTATTGGTCTGTGTGTGCGTAGTTCTTGCACAGTTTAAACGAGGTAATATATTATTTAGCTTAGAGATTTGACAGCTCATATATGCATGAATCTTCTTCCAGAAGTCACTATCTCTCAAACATTTATGTTTTAAATCGAGACTTAAAAATCTGTCTTTTTGAGAAATATTATCAGTGATTTAATGTATCCGCCGTGGAGTACACTAGCCCTATACAAATATTATTATTTAGCCTATGATTCTGAAACTTTGAAAATTCTAAAATGCCACGAATATTGTTGCACCAAACAACGGTTATTAACGAAATATTTCAAAGAGTTTGATAAATATTGGCTATTTATATATATTAATTGTTCTGCTTATCTAATAGTAACTTTGTCTTTTCTGTATGTCCTCTGTAAATTTGCTTTCCTTGTTCTGGTTTCGTTGAGAAAGAGTCTTGTAATGTCTTTTAAAAATTTATTTATTCGAAAACGGAAAAAACTTTCATTTCATCGAAAATTGAACACACCTTTATTTACGCCAAAATTATTCGTTTATTTCTTTCAAAATGAATTAATTCCGTTTGTAATTTTCGCTAGTTTCGTCTTTTCATTAATTGTAAAGATAACTGATATTTGGTTCCTTAGATACATCCATGACGCAGGGTATACTTATGCGACCTAAAACACGTGATAATTGTGTCTAAAACTGTACTATTATATATTATATACATGTATATTTTTGCTTTTAAAAAACCACCCCCTCCAAAACATAAATAATTAACTTAATGTTGTGTAATTAAATTTCTTTTATTACCTTCTCTTTCTCTCGTTAAGAATTCTGCTTTGAGGTTGTGAAATTCTTAAAGCGTCACTGCTGTGGAATACCCGTTTTAGAATTCTTAAAGCGTCATTGTTGCAGTGTCCTATTCTAAGAATTCTGCCTTCGCCATTGCTGTGGTCTCCTGTTCTGAGATTCTTAGAGTGTCACTGCTCTGATTTCCCCGTTCTGAAATTCTTAGAGCATCACTGCTGTGGTCTCCCGTTCTGAAATTCTTAAGAGTATCACTGCTGTGGTCTCCCCTTCTGAAATTCTTAGAGCGTCACTGCTGTGATCTCCCCGTTCTGAAATTCTTAGAGCGTCACTTCTCTGGGCTACCCGTTCTAAAATTAGAGTGTCACTGTTGTGGCCTCATATTCTACAAGTCATTGCGGAATACAGCTGTGACCGCCCATTCTGTTTTTCTTTATTTCCAAATATAATGTGATATTAATTAATATATTTAGATATGTAATAGATTTGATCATCCGCGCCATATAATCAGTTAACGTTAAAATGAACGTCACTCAATAAAGTGCGTAAAATCGTGACTTGGTTTATTTACAATCGGCTATTTCTTGTCAAATTTTCATAACGTCGCTCAGAATAAGCAATTGGATTAAAATTGTCAATATAGTGATTTATCTATTTTTGAACTATTATAGCAAGAACGATTAGCTCTTTATATCAATCTTACACGATAGTTAGGTCGCCCAATGGTCTAAAGCTTGGCGCAGACGGTCAACTTTTCGTCGCTTGTTGCTGCAATAGGCAACTACTGGCAACTCCGAGCAATTGGCAACTCGAGGTCTCCCGTGTGCGCTGACTGGCAACGAGAAGCAATTTTTCCCCGGATGTATCCGGAATGCCGGTATCACGTGATCATTCAAAATGGCGCCGTACATACAACAACATATATCACATGACAGTAGAAGGCTCGCTGATTGGACAGTTAACCAGTTGCTTGTTGCCTGTTGTCGCATACCGCCGCAGACAAGCAATTTTGAAGCAACAGATGAACAATTTCTCGGCGACGAGCGATCGATTTTCTGTTGTCGAATATCAAACATGTTTGATATTTGGCAACGAGAAGCAACTCTGAGCAACAGCAGGCAACTATTGTTGCCCGTTGGCGCAGACGAGCGATTTTTTCTTTCAACGACCAGCGATTTCACTGTTGCCTGAAAGTTGCTCGAAAAAGTTGCCCGTCTGCGCCTGGCTTAAAGCGTGCATGTTATTTCAAGTGGTATGTCATTGAGTCAAATAGCGGGGTTTTGATTCCCCGTTTGTACCTGTGAATGCGTAGTTTCCTCTGTTCAACCTCCTGGGTTTTCTCCGGATCCTCCGATTTCCTCCCACAGCTAAAAACCCATACGTTCAAGCCAATTATTGAACCCCTCTCTCTCTCGGAGTCAGCTGGTGTGGTTTCGATTCGCCGGTTGTATGTGACAAGGAGTAGGGTCGCATGTCCAACCTCGTGGGTTTTCTCCGGGTCCTCCGATTTCCCCCCACCGCTAAAGACCCCTACGCGCAAGCGAATTATTGAAATACTATTGAACCATGTGTTAGTCCCGAAATGACCTAGTTTATGTCGAGTGTGGACGTTAACTTACAAAATGTATATTTTATATATTCAGGTAAACCTAGAAGAAAATCTGAGAAACCTAAATGGGATTGTACCGATATAGAGGATGGTTTGTATATCGGTGATTGTTTAAATTTCTATAGATGTCAGAATGAAACAACACGTCATCTTCCCTGTCCTGGGGATCTCGTAGTTAATGAAAAACAGATGTGGTGCGATTAGTGAGTTCTTACTTTTTTTTATTTTGAACTCATTTCTCCTTTTGTCTAGTATTTGGTATAGGACACAAATTGAGCTCGTGGTTTCCCCTTGTCAGTGGTGCAGGACGGAGGGCCTGACAAGGACAGCTGTCTAGTCGTTCAGATGGGACGAAAAACCGATGGTCCGTGTACGTGAAAGATCCCCTGTCAGTTGGAATTCGATAATAGAGTAGGCCATAGTGCCGCTGTCCTGGCAAAATTTCCCTCATAGAACACTGTATGGCGTATGCCTGTTATCAATAGCCCAGTCGGAGCAGAACAGTAGGACGTTAAACCCCATTTCATTTCATTTTATTTCATTTCATTTCAATAACTATTCAAAGGAAGTGGGGGTCTTACTTTCCTGTATTTACACTTGTTCCAGCTTCCTTTGTTTCCTATGAGGGTTGGATGGCCGAATGGTTAGCACGTGTGCGCTGTATCATAAGGTCTGCCATTTAGTCAAGTGGCGTGGTTTCTATTCCCTGGTTGTACGTGAAAAGGAATAGGGTCGCCTGTCCAACTCCATGGGTTTTCTCCTGGTCCTCCGGTTTCCTCGCACTGCTAAAGACCCCTAAGCGCAAGCGAATTATTAAAATAAAATTGAACCATATGTTAATCCCGAAATGACCTAGTATGTGTCGAGTGGACGTTAAACCCCATTTCTCTCTCTCTCTAAAACACCAAATCAATTATTTCGTAAGAGCTGCTTAATGTTGAAATCCTTCCCTAAACAGACCCCTGCATTAAAACCTTCAATAACAAAAGAAGTCTATTTAATGTTTTAACCTTTATAGCAGTTTAAAAATAGATAGGTTTTGATAATTTGTCGTACGAATATAGGATATTAGAAATTAGATTTGCTATGAATAACTAGATAGATTGTTTTGGTTATTAAAAATCTACAATTATCATTTTTTATAATAAGAAAAGAATGTGAAAATAGAGAGATATAATTTATGACATTGTTTCTTATTGTGTTAAAAATTAATATTGCTACTAAGAAGATAATATTACATTTGAAATAGGAAACATAGATTCTCTACATGTGTTTCTTGAAGTTAATGGAATTCTGAATTAACTTTAGGAGATCCATTATAAACCTACATATAACTTAATGTCACTACATAAAGGCATTTTTATAGATGAATATTTGTAATATCCCTGTATATAGAAAATCCATTAGAGCCGCAGATCAATGCCATCATCCCTGGAAATTACAATATATTTATACACAAGGCCATCTTTTTATAATATCATTTCTAATCGGCATGCGTCAGCACGTGTAGGAGGTGTCCTCAACCCTTCATCCATTTTTAGTCACTTTGTTGCATTTTAAATGTTTGTTTTTTAATTTTGGTGGTTAAATATACATTATGCAAGAGCTAAATCTACCTATTGCAGGTCTTTCTTTAGGCCTGAAATGTTATATAAACTATAAATTAGACAATAATAAACAAAACAAGACCATAATCGACTCTCGATGGCATCGGATACTTGAGATTTTAACTAGATTAAAACGGTTCGCCATTTAAAAATTTAATTTAAAAATGGGAAAGCGAGGCTAAGCCCCGATTATACCAGTGCCCTGGTTACCACTGTGCACACATCTTGTCAAAACTACAAACAATGATAACTTGGCTGAGAACAAAGTAATTTGATAGAAATTTTCAATATTTTCTTTTTTATCATCTATTTTTGAATTATTATAACAAGAATGGCCAACTCTTTATTTAACTCTTAACTAATGTATCTTTAACATATCAACCAATGGAATATGTCGATACATTGAAAGCAAAGTAGCTACGTTTCGTAACTACAAAATAATCCCTTTTACTTTGACTCGTTGACCGAGATTTGTTCAGGGTTTATATGTCGCGGTGAACGACTGACCCTTAGCTTGTTAATTACAATCGTCTATTAAATGGACATTCTAGCGGATATTTTGAAACTTCTGCTTCTATGTCCTTTTAAACTTACACCAACCCGTCTTTGTTATTTTTCCGGTGTAGTTTCTCCTTGACTGTGGTGCAGGAGGAAGGAGAGCTGTTTAGTCGTTGGAGCGGACGAAATGCCGAGGTCTCGTGTACATATTGGTCTGCACGTAAAAGATCCCTTGGCAGTTGGAATTCGATATAAGAATAGGCCGTGGCGCCGCTGTTCAGGCAAACTTTCCTTCATAGCACATTGCATGGCCTATGCCCGTCTTCATTAGCTCAATCTGAGCAGAACAAATATTTCATTTTATTTCCGTTCCGTCTTCGTTATCGCGGGTGGTGCAGAGAAATTGGGTGTCAAACAGCATTTCATTTCATTTCTTACAAAAATAATTGTTTCTTGCTATTGTATATGTAGGCTACAGTAAGGACTTGCTGGCCCCACCGTATGGTACAGCCTCTAACTGTACTATATTTACAGCAAGGACTTGCTGGCCCCACCGTATGGTACTGCCCCTACTTGTATGAAATTTACAGTAAGGACTTGCTGTCCCCACCGTATGGTACAGCCTCTAACTGTACTATATTTACAGCAATATATTTATATTATTGTGTATTTACAGTAAGGACTTGGTAGCCCCACCATGTGGTACAGCCCCTAATTGTACAGGTATTATAGATGGGAACTACCCGGATTACTCAAGGCGATGTCAGTATTATTATACATGTCTACATAACGATTTCTACGGTTTTACTAAATGTGCTGCCAGTAAGTATAAGTAGTGAGTTGTTTTACTAAATGTGCTGCCAGTAAGTATACGTAATGAGTGGTTTTACGACATGTGCTACCAGTAAGTATACGTAGTGAGTGGTTTTACTAAATGTGCTACCAGTAAGTATATATAGTGAGTGGTTTTACTAAATGTACTGTCAGTGAGTATAGGTAGTGATTGCACAAAATGTGCTGCCAGTAAGTATACATAGTGAGTGTTTTACTAAATGTGCTGCCAGTAAGAATACGTAGTGAGTGGTTTTACGAAATGTGCTGCCAGTAAGTATACGTGGTGAGTGGTTTTACGAAATGTGCTGCCAGTACAGTAAGTATACTAGGTGAGTGGTTTTACGAAATGTGCTGCCAGTAAGTATACGTATAGTGAGTGTTTTACTAAATGTACTGCCAGTAAGTATACCTAGAGAGTGGTTTTACTAAATATGCTGTCAGTAAGTATACGTAGTGAGTGTTTTACTAAATGTGCTGCCAGTAAGTGTACGTAGTGAGTGTTTTACTAAATATGCTGCCAGTAAGTATACGTAGTGAGTGTTTTACTAAATGTGCTGCCAGTAAGTATACGTAGTGAGTGTTTTTACGAAATGTGCTGCGAGTAAGTATACGTATAGTGAGTGTTTTACGAAATGTGCTGCGAGTAAGTATACGTATAGTGAGTGTTTTACTAAATGTGCTACCAGTAAGTATACGTAGTGAGTGGTTTTATGAAATGTGCTACCAGTAAGTATACTTGGTGAGTGGTTTTACGAAATGAGCGGTTTAACGTCCTACTTTTTTGCTCCAATTGGGTTAAATCAGGACGGACATACGCCATACAGTGTACTATGGGGGATATTGTGACCGGACAGCAGCGCTACCCCTATTCTTATATCGAATTCCAACTGCCATGTTTTCTTTTATGTGCACGCCAATGGGGCCTCGGTTTTTCGTTCCATCCTAACGATTGTGCGTTGTACCTTGCCAGGCCCTCCGTCCTGCATCACCAACAAGGGGGAACCGATCCGGAGAATCCCGATGAATTTTAGGTTATCGAGCCAACGTTTTACGCACTGAGCCACCGCGACTCCCCGAGCGTTTAATTTAAGTTTCTGTGCCATTGTAATTGATATTTGGCCACGGTGGTGGAACGGTATGGTACACCACTGGATTCCGGACTAGAATATCCCGTGTTCGAACCCTACGTGGACCGAGCAGTATTCCATCCCGGTCCCCAACAAGCAAAGTGTTGACCAGTCGGTCGGAAGGAACACCAAATCGTGGTTTGACTATTTCCACATTGGCGTGTACGTAAAATAACCCATGACAGACGAGATCTGACGAAGAAAGAGCTCGCGGATGCATTCTCTCGGGGATCGGCCACGTGACCATAACATCGTCTGCTTCCAAGGTTGACCATTCCGACTGCGCATAACCCAGTATAAATAATCAAACGGAAAATAACGAAGAATGCCGATTGTAATACAAAACGCTTTGTTTTCTATGAATGGAGTAAAACGTGATGATTTGCATAAAACTAAATGTTAACCTTAGGGATGATATATTATCGAGTTATGTAATAATTTATGATATTTAAAAAATGCAGTAGAAAATATTCAAGTAATATATATACACTACTTATCATATCAATAGTGACGATATCCTAACACGCGCGGCCTTCATGAACAGAAATTGAAATGAAATGGAGTTTAATGTCCTACTCGTCTGCTCCGAACTTGGCTAATGAAGACGGGCATACACCATACAGTGTGCTACAGGTGAGAGAAACTTTGCCCGGGCAGTGGCACTATGGTTTACTCTATCGAATTCCAACTGTTAAGGGATCTTTTACGTGCGCGCCAATCTCGGGACATGGGACCTCGGTTTTTCGTCCCATCCGAACGACTAGACAGCTGTCCTTGTCAAGCCCTCTGCCCTGCACCATTGACAAGGGGAAACCACACCGGGAATCAAGATGAACTTTCTCGGTCAATGCAGGAATCGAACACCCGAACTAGCTCCAGGCTAGCGAGCCAGCGTCTTATCCACTTCGCCACCGTGGCTCCCTTCATGAACAGTGCTCTCGATTAAGATGTGAGTTTAAGGACAGACCCCGTATGTCTCGGGTTCGCTCCCGGTATGGGTCGAAACAATTTCCTCGGAAATTTCCAGGGTGGTTTACACTTGTCCGTGGTGCAGTATTACATGCCTTATTGCACAGTGTCTTGTTGTACGGATGTGACGAAGACCCAAATCTCTTGCACATGTTGGCTTGCACGTTAAAGAACCCTTGACAATATGCGGTAGCACCGCTGTCCTGGCAAAATTGCTCTCACCATAGCACACTGCGTGGCGTATGCTAATCTTCATTAAAGGCTCAATACCACTCTTGTTGTAACTGAATAATATGTCCCAATCTTTATTCTGGTCAACAAATTGTACTTTTTGTTACAATATTCCAATTAATTGATGATACAAATTTCATCTTAACACACCTAATTTAAAAAATAGAAAAAATTCAACTCAATGATTTGAAAAGCCTGACGTAAAGCTTTTCAAATGTTACTTGGATTTAAAAATATTTTTGAACCCTCTGGACAAGTAAAATAGGATTTAATGGATAATTTCCACAACAGGTAGGACACTAACACATCTAGTACTTAGAATAAGGCTATTTTTTAATTTCTGGAGCTGTCAAGCCAACAAGAGTGTTATTGTCCCTTTAACCTCGATGATGAGGAACAGTAGAACATTAAACCACATTTTAACTCATTTCATTTGAGTATCCGACTACATGGCTAGAGAGAGATGAAATATTTGACATCTGAAACTTTGAAGACGACACACTCAGTGCATTAGTTTTCTGGAAGTAGTAATACGACCATTTACTAGGGTAATCACCAATAATGTATATATATATATATACAGATCTACGTCATTTGTAATCAGTGTGTTTTATACTAATGCTTGTACTGACCTATATAGGTAACATGAGATGAAATGGGGTTAAACCTCCTACACTTCCGCACTGACTGAGCTAATGAAGACGGGCATTCGCCATCCAGTGTGCCATTGGGGATATTTTGCCCGGACAGACACGGCCAACCCTTATTTAGAATTCCAAACTTCAAAGGTTCTTTAACTGATACAAGGGACCTCGTAAGGGGAAAATTTCTCTCATAGCACACTGCATGCCGTATGCCCGCCTCCAGTAAAGCCAGAATTTCATATTTTCTAAGAAAGTCAAAACATAATTATTTCTGTCTTTTGCTCATTAGGTTATCAACTCACTATTATACGACCATGGGCATTATTTCCCACCCTTCAAAATCATTGACACAGGAAATAATAACACAATTACCTCCCTTGTTTTCCTATTGCCTCCATGCATTAGCTACCTTTAAACGTTGGAATTTGAAGTTGAAAATGATATTTTTGCCAATTTCTCAGCTGGCAATAGTGACTTATAGGATTAATAGGATTATTCAAGCTAGGACGGTTTATGGATACCATCTATTTTAAGGCTTTATTTTAATAAATTTTAAAAATATAACTTAAAAATATGAAATTGTAGCTTTAACCCTGTTGGAACAAAAGAATAGGACGTTAAACGTTACGAACGCTTGGGAGGGCGATTCATGGTAGGCGGATGTCGCCCATCTTGATATGTCAGAAATCACCGATGATACCTCAAGTTTTTCAAAATGTGCTTAGAGGAGGACCCCACTATCCCCCACAAAATATTCTGTGTCCGCCATAGTAGCTGCCACCCCACCCACCACAAAAATCATTTGTCCGTCATAGTAGTTGCCACCCCCATCCAATACCAAATATCTTGTGTCCGTCATAGTAACTGCCACCCCTACCCACCACCAAATATCCTGTGTCCGCCATAGTAGCTGCCACTCCTGCCCACCACCAAATAACCCCTGCCCACCACCAAATAACCGCCATAGTAGCTGCCACCCCTACCCACCACCAAATATCCACCATAGTAGTTGCCACCCCCATCCAATACCAAATATCTTGTGTCCGTCATAGTAGCTGCCACCCCTACCCACCACCAGATATCTACCATAGTAGCTGCCACCCCTATCCAATACCAAATATCTTGTGTCCGTCATAGTAACTGCCCCCCCCTACCCACAACCAAATATCCTGTGTCCGCCATAGTAGTTGCCACCCCTGCCCACCATCAAATATCCGCCATAGTAGCTGTCGCCCCTGCCCACCATTAAATATCCGCCATAGTACCTGCCGCCCCTGCCCACCACCAGATATCCGCCCTAGTAGCTACCACCCTCACCCACCACCAGATATCCGCCATAGTAGCTGCCACCCTCACCCTCCGCCATAGTAGCTGCCACCCTCACCCACCACCAATTATCCGCCATAGTAGCTGCCACCCCTACCCACCACCAATTATCCTCCATATTTGTTGCCACACCTACCCACCACCAAATATCCGCCATAGTAGCTGCCACCCCTACCCACCATTAAATATCCACCATAGTAGCTGCCACCCCTACCCACCATTAAATATCCGCCATAGTAGCTGCCACCCTCACCCACCACCAAATATCCGCCATAGTAGCTGCCACCCCTACCCACCACCAAATATCCGCCATAGTAGCTGCTCCCCCTACCCACCATTAAATATCCACCATAGTAGCTGCCACCCTCACCCACCACAAATACCCACAATAGTAGCTGCCACCCCTACCCACCATTAAATATCCGCCATAGTAGCTGCCACCCTACCCACCATTAAATATCCGCCATAGTAGCTGCCACCCCTACCCACCATTAGATATCCGCCATAGTAGCTGCTCCCCCTACCCACCATTAAATATCCACCATAGTAGCTGTCACCCCTACCCACCACCAAATATCCGCCATAGTAGCTGCTCCCCCTACCCACCATTAAATATCCACCATAGTAGCTGCCACCGTCACCCACCACCAAATATCCGCCATAGTAGCTGCCACCCCTACCCACCATTAAATATCCGCCATAGTAGCTGCCACCCCTACCCACCATTAAATATCCGCCATAGTAGCTGCCACCCCTACCCACCCATAGTAGCTGCCACCCCTACCCACCACCAAATATCCTGCGTCCGCCACTAGATCTGGTACATCGGTTTTAATACATATATGTTTATTTGTTTTCTCTCAGACTTACTGTACAACCCCGAGAAAAACAACTGTGATTGGGCATTCCTGGTTAAACCACCGTGTGGTGACGCTGCAGAACACGTCTACCCTGAAAAACCCGACCGAGTTGGCTGAATACAAGACTGGAAGAGTTGTTCCCCCCTTACCAATACACTCTTTAATCATTCATAGTTTTATCAAGTATGTTCAAGTGCACCATGCATTCATAGGTTTTTAACTCTGATTAATTAGCCCATTTACAGGACATGAAGAGTTACTTCCCATGTATTTCTAAATCTAATTTTCTCTTACCCAGTACATTCGAAGGACACACAGAGTTAATACCCGTACTGACTTCAATTAGTGTGGGTGAAAAATGCTGATGTTAAAAGATCTTTCCACTTTTGTTACTTTTATTTTCTACGCCTCCATTTTGTTTGCCATCGGTAATTAGGTTACCATTTTGTTATGTCGATATTAACATTTATCATTTGTTCATCGGATCATAATTCATTAATAAACAATTAAAAAAGTAACAGTTATTAACATTATTATAAAAATGATGACGTAGGCAATGTCTTATCCGCAGTTCAATGGACCGTTTTCTAAGAGCGACCGGTGACTGAACACATGGGCGATCAAAAAGACATTCGCGAGGGGGTGGGGTGTGGGGGTGCCAAAGAATCAATGATGTGTGAACATGCCCACATGCATAGGTCATGCCCACGTGACTCTATACTATCTAGCGCCATGGACCACGTGAGTCTAGATGCCAACCCCAAGGCTTAAGCGTACCAGAATAGATGTGTAATCTTTCCAACCATTCATCGTCGGGTTAATCTGTTCAATTAATATATATATCATCATTAACAACTGATCATTTAGTATGACCATTTTACTTCCCTAGTTTCTAATAACTATGTCAGGACATTAACCTAATCCTTTTAGTCAGACATTCAGCCGACGGGGCACTATTAACATACATTAAATATCCATGGCGACCATCAACAGTTCGCCATGATGAACTACTTTGATTGACCGAGAGAGAGAGAGAGAGAGAGAGAGATGGGGTTAAACCCACACTGGTAATTTCGGGACAAACACATGGTTCAAGTTTATTTCAATAATGCGCTTGCGCGCATGGGTCTTTAGCAGTGGGAGGAAACCGGAGGACCCGGAGAAAACCCACGAGGTTGGACAGACGACCCTACACTGTTAGAAATAAATGTTAATTTACCGTAAGAATGTGGTAAAATATTTACGTAGTTGTATGTTATTTTACAAATGTATGTTTTATTACACCAAACAGGAGTGATAGTACAAATAGTCGTAAAAAAAACATATTATACAGGTGATTTTACCGTGAAATAATTTATTTTTACATACGTAACGTCAAAATACAGTAATGTTCAGTGCATTCAAACTATAGGAAGATGTACCGTATCCCAAATTGGTTGTCGTAAAATGTTGAAATCACAGAAATGTTTTATTCAATAGTAATGAAAGCAAACCTTGAAATATTTTTGTTAACATTTCTCAACACACAACCAATTAACAGTGACCGTTGAAGTCCACAACCAAATAGCAAATGATGTTACGACTGTCAGAAAAGTATGTAAAATTACAATAGTACAAGGGTTTTTTTGTACCTCAATTATCGGTATATTTTACAACATATACTACTTTTACCAAGTCTAATGTATTTTTATCGAGTTTCAAGTATGTTTATCGAGTTTCATGTCTTTTTGACAATAAGTGGCGATGGAATCAAGGACATATTCAAAATCCTGTAAAAATACATATAATGTAATAAAATTGAACTGAAAGTAACGCAGCAAGCGTGTTACTTTACAGATTTTACGTTTGTTCACATTATTATAAGTAAAATTACAGCAGTTAAAGAATTTGTTTTTACCTTAAAATATTGAACGGAAAATAACATAGCCAGCATGTCATTTTACAGACTTACGTTTATTCACGTTATTTTGTAAATTTACTTATTCAATAAATTTACTTATTCGGTAAATTTACTATCTCTTATTTTATTTTAGTATTCCATAGAAACGAAACATTCCTAATAATTATCTTCTTATGGTATTCATTTCAATTTATTAACCATAATATGGACAATCACATCTTGTAAATTTAGTATATTGCATGTCATGTATATCTAGTTTCCATTATTTATAAGATCTATAAAGTGTATTGATATTTAGCGTACGTTAATCAGTTTGTAAGTATTTTCTTAAATGCATAAAAAAAAATGTTTTGACTTTCTGGCCGTAGGTTGTATTATCTCGTTTTCAAGTTCACTTTCAAGTTCACTTGAAGACGGTAAATTCAACCGATTGGCCAGTGTTAGTTGAGCCGGACTGTCTGTAAAGCAGGGTTATAATGCCTGCAAATAGATAGTACCGCGAGCTTACATCTGAAAGCCTGGAACCATGCTCTCGTCTACCAAACAGGATTATCGATATTCAATATATATCGAAGTGATATTAATACGAAATATTTTACACCGGGGCTATTGCTCGAATGTTGCATGTAAAATTACCAATATTAGTATTTTTAACAAAAGTGTAAATTAACAGTGTGATGTATTTTGACAAGAAATGTAAATTAACATTGTGATGTATTTTTACAAGAAATGTCAATTAACAGATATGTCCTTCTACAGTAAATTGTTAAATAACTAATGGTGTAATTTTACCTATGATTTAGGGGCAACTTTTGCTGCCCGTAATGTTAGGGTAAAATAACCAAAATATTTCTAACAGTGTACTCCTTGTCACGAAGTGACCTAGTTCGTGTCGAGTGGACGTTAAACCCCATTTCTCTCTCTCTCTCTCTTTTGGTTCTACATTTTTCCTTAAAGAGACATTATGGGGGATTAGATAATAATAAGGACAGGGGGCTGCACCACACATAATTTACACAAAAACAAATAGACGGACAAGACACGACACGCAAAAATTACAAACAAACGAACAATTCAAATTAAGTGAATGGATCCGCGGGCTAGCCGTAAGCGTCCACTGCGCTGTGCACCGCCGGGCATGTAGTGATACAGACTTCACTCAAATTTGAAAACAATCAGGAATATAACCCAGAGAAACCATTAAGTAATGCCAGCATGAGTCATGAGCTGCTGTATGTTACAAGAATTATGAATGTAAACATATTGAAGTAAAAATTACCTATACTAGTGGCCATATATAAAAAAAAACAGGTAATCAAAAACTAAATGCTCTAAGTCAATTGAGAAACGTTTTAGTATTCAGTAGAATCGAGACATATTGAATACAGTTAGGGCACATGTTCTACCCATCACAAAAATTTCAGTCAAATTGCTCCACTCTGAACTATTAGCTCTTGGATTTTAAGTTTATAGCCTCGATCATCATTACTAAAGTCGGTACGATAAAAACATTGTATCGATTATCCATTTTTGGATTTAATCATTAATAAGCGTTGAGCAGCAGATCTTATTCAAATCCCGTGAAAATCCGACACATAATATCACATTGAGAGTTGATTATGGTCTTGTTTTGTTAGTAAATGTCTAATTAATAATTTATATAACAATAGGCAGGTATAGCTTTTGCATAATGTAATAGTTTATATAACATTTCAGGCGTAAAGAAAGACCTGCAATAGGCAGATTTAAACAGTGTTCGGGAATTTGGTGGAATTGATTTGATTGTCGCCTACAGTTTGAAATGAATTCACTCAATTATCAATATATCATAATGCAAATTTAAAAAGAAGCATTTAAATCGTCTGTTAAACCATTTCCATAGGATGAAGAAATTTCCAGGCTACGAGAAGATGAATTTGAAGGTATTGTTGGGTCAGATGTTATTATTATATATGTACAGCTCCAACATAAAATGTAATCCAGGCTTATAAAAACACAACAAAAACAATACCCCCCCCCCCCAATGTATACACCACTGTTACAACAAACAGTATACGCCACTGTTACAACAAACAATATACGCCACTGATACAACAAACAGTATACACACCACTGTTAAAGCACTCATTTAGAGTTATCTTCTAAAGTGTAGAGAAACTTAGAATTTTTAATATTACATATGCAACGAGAAAGTGACACAGTTAAACCCACCCAGCACAGGGTGCATGTTTATTGACATGCGAGTACAGACACCCAGGCGTCAAATCTAATGAGTTTTCAGAATGTTCAAGGGGTCTGGGGTGGAAAATTCCAAGATATAACCTACTACAATAGTTTTGACAATTTCAAACTTCACGCCCGTTCCTCATGTGCAAGGGCGTGGATTTGTCATAACTTTGTTTTTTTTTTGGGGGGGGGGGACGGACGAACCCTGGAACCCGGAACATTTCATCCCCCCCCGTACCCCCCCCTAAATCCACGCCCATGCTCATGTGCATCCCATAATATCTGTGACACTCGATAGGGGGCCTTGAAGCTATTGATGACCTTACTACGCACCTGTTCTATTTGTCCAATGTAGGTAATCGTTATCTATCTTAGACAATACTAGTAACACCAATTCTTTTATCTATTTTATACTCTTATCTTCTTAATTAGATAAGGAGTTGTGGTGATTCAGGGAGTAAGACGTTGGCTCGCTAACCAGGAGGTCACGTGTTCGGCCCCGGTGGTGACCGAATAATGTCATCTGGTTAGAGAGCCTTGCAAGGGAATACGTATATTCGTTCTGAGACTCCGTATTCACATTAACTCTGTTGGAATTCGAAATAAGGGTAGGTCGTATAAGTACCGCGATCTGGACAGAATGTTCCTATCATAGCACACTGTATAGCGTATGCTCTTCTTTATTAGCCCAGTCGGCGCAGGACAGTAGGGCGTTAAACCCCATTTCATTTCTTGGAGAGAGAGAAAGAGAGAGATAGAGGGGGGGGGGGGGCTAGCGTCCACTCGACACACAAACTAAGTAACTTCGGGACTAAAACATGGTTCAATTTTAGTTCAATAAATCGCTTGCGCGTAGGCGTCTTTATCAGTGGGAGGAAACCAGAGGACCTGGAGAAAACCCAAGAGGTTGTGCAGGCGACCCTACTCTTTGTCACGTACAACCGGGGAATTCTTGGTTATATAATGAAACTGGTTTATGTGTGGATATTTGTTACCTGTAAGTGGAGGCTCTGTCTTGTCGAGCCTTTAAGTTAAGCATGATAACCACATAACAGTCTGATTAAAACACAGATCCTATTTCGTTTCGTTTTTTATAGTTCAAAATTTCGTTCTACTACACTAGGATCTGGAAGAGTTGTTATACAACCCGCGTTCTGGATGATGTGAGGGATTAGCAAATGAAACGATTGTAACACTATCTTAGTGATAACAGAGATGAGTTTAGTAAATATATGGTTTATTTACATCGGAACAGAATATAACACAGCTACAGTTACATACATACATGTCTGCGATATCACCTCAGTGGAAGCGGACGTAAAATACAACTAACTCACACACACATACATACAGGTGCACGGAACTGTGGGTAACTCACCAGAAACAGCAACGCGATTGGTTAATCAAATGTCTTACGTTATGGTATGACCTTTGACGCGACCTTCCACTACAACCTGTCAGATATTCATGTAGTAGAGGCCATCGAAATATAAAAAAAACGAAACGAAATATAGATCTATATTTTAATCTTATTGACCACAATACTATCGCGTACAAACAATCGTGTTTAAGGATAACCGTAAGGGTAAACAACCGCGTCCAAGGGGAAGCGTAAGTGTAAACAATCGTGTTTAAGGGGAACCGTAAGGGTAAACAACCGCGTCCAAGGGGAAGCGTAAGGGTAAACAATCGTGTCTAAGGTGAAGCGTAAGTGTAAACAATCGTGTCTAAGGGGAACCGTAAGGGTAAACAACCGCGTCCAAGGGGAAGCATAAGTGTAAACAATCGTGTTTAAGGGGAACCGTAAGGGTAAACAACCGCGTCTAAGGGGAGGCGAAAGTGTAAACAATCGTGTCTAAGGGGAAGTGTAAGGGTAAACAATTGTTTATGATACACCAAACGACCAGATGCCTGTTATTCGTCTATGATTTCATGTTCATAACATCAATAACGTAATTGTTATTTAACACCAAACGACCGATGCTTGCAGGAGTGGATCCAAGAATATTTGCAGGTGGGGGTTTCCAGGTTCCTGTTTTGAAGTTAACAATACATAATGCCATCATCGTCTCCAAATTACGTAGGCATACATACACACTGAGCTTTTTAAAGAGAGAAATCGAAGACCCCTTGAATTAATACGATGACATTGTGATTCAATTTCAGTGATGCAAAGCATTAATTGTTATATCACAAAAATAAGACAGTGTCATTATCTCGCGCTTTGAATGTCCATCCCATCCCACCGTCTGGTGATAATGGATAAAGGGTGTGTGTGTGTGTGTCCTGTTATTCTGTCTGTGATTTCATGTACATAACACAAAAAAAACGTAATTGTCATTTAAGATTCTGCTGAATCTTATTGTAATATTACTTTAGTCACATATTCGCCATTCCTTATGCAACATAAGTTGTTAGGTCAAGTGAAGTGGTGTGCTAAATATTTAGCCTTGGGATTTAGAAGCTGGATACAAGATAACATTTTTGCCAACAAATGTGGTTTTGTAGTTTGGTGAACTAACGCTTCGCATTAGATGATAAGATATGCCATTGCGTCCAATGTAGGTAATCGTTATCTATCTTAGACAATACTAGTAACACCAATTCTTTTATCTATTTTATACTCTTATCTTCTTTTAAAATTAGATAAGGAGTTGTGGTGATTCAGGGAGTAAGACGTTGGCTCGCTAACCCGGAGGTCACGTGTTCGGCCCCGGTGGTGACCGAATAATGTCATCTGGTTAGAGGGCCTTGCAAGGGAATACGTATATTCGTTCTGTGATCCCGTATTCACATTAACTCTGTTGGAATTCGAAATAAGGGTAGGTCGTGTAAGTACCGCGATCTGGACAGAATGTTCCTATCATAGCACACTGTATAGCGTATGCTCTTCTTTATTAGCCCAGTCGGCTCAGGACAGTAGGGCGTTAAACCCTATTTCATTTCTTGGAGAGAGAGAGAGGGGGGGTAGCGTCCACTCGACACACAAACTAGGTCACTTCGAGACTTAAACATGGTTCAATTTTAGTTCAATAATTCGCTTGCGCGTAGGCGTCTTTATCAGTGGGAGGAAAAAAGAGGACCTGGAGAAAACCCAAGAGGTTGTGCAGGCGACCCTACTCCTTGTCACGTACAACCGGGGAATTCTTGGTTATATAATGAAACTGGTTTATGTGTGGATATTTGTTACCTGTAAGTGGAGGCTCTGTCTTGTCGAGCCTTTAAGTTAAGCATGATAACCACATGACAGTCTGGTTAAAACACAGATCCTATTTCGTTTCGTTTTTTATAGTTCAAAATTTTGTTCTACTACACTAGGATCTGGAAGAGTTGTTATACAACCCGCGTTCTGGATGATGTGAGGGATTAGCAAATGAAACGATTGTAACACTATCTTATTGATAACATAGATCAGTTTAGTAAATATATGGTTTATTTACATCGGAACAGAATATAACACAGCTACAGTTACATACATACATGTCTGCGATATCACCTCAGTGGAAGCGGACGTAAAATACAACTAACTCACACACACATACATACAGGTGCACGGAACTGTGTGTAACTCACCAGAAACAGCAACGCGATTGGTTAATCAAATGTCTGACGTTATGGTATGACCTTTGACGCGACCTTCCACTACAACCTGTCAGATATTCATGTAGTAGAGGCAATCGAAATATAAAAAAAACGAAACGAAATATAGATCTATATTTTAATCTTATTGACCACAATACTATCGCGTACAAACAATCGTGTTTAAGGGGAACCGTAAGGGTAAACAACCGCGTCCAAGGGGAAGCGTAAGTGTAAACAATCGTGTTTAGGGGGAACCGTAAGGGTAAACAACCGCGTCCAAGGGGAAGCATAAGTGTAAATAATCGTGTTTAAGGGGAACCGTAAGGGTAAACAACCGCGTCTAAGGGGAAGCGTAAGTGTAAACAATCGTGTCTAAGGGGAAGTGTAAGGGTAAACAATTGTTTATGATACACCAAACGACCTGTTATTCGTCTATGATTTCATGTTCATAACATCAATAACGTAATTGTTATTTAACACCAAACGACCGATGCTTGCAGGAGTGGATCCAAGAATATTTGCAGGTGGGGGTTTCCAGGTTCCTGTTTTGAAGTTAACAATACATAATGCCATCATCGTCTCCAAATTACGTAGGCATACATACACACTGAGCTTTTTAAAAAGAGAAATCCAAGACCACTTGAATTAATACGATGACACTGTGATTCAATTTCAGTAATGCAAAGCATTAATTGTTATATCACAAAAATATGCCAGTGTCATTATCTAGCGCTTTGAATGCCCATCCCATCCCCACCGTCTGGTGATAATGGATAAAGGGTGTGTGTGTGTGGGGGGGGGGGACCCCACCCCCTCTGCATTTGCCCCCGTCCTGTTATTCTGTCTGTGATTTCATGTACATAACACAAAAAAAAACGTAATTGTCATTTAAGATTCTGCTGAATCTTATTGTAATATTACTTTAGTCACATATTCTCCATTCCTTATGCAACATAAGTTGTTAGGTCAAGTGAAGTGGTGTGCTAAATATTTAGCCTTGGGATTTAGAAGCTGGATACAAGATAACATTTTTGCCAACAAATGTGGTTTTGTAGTTTGGTGGACTAACGCTTCGCATTAGATGATAAGATATGCCATTGAGTCAGGTGACGTGGTTTCGATTCCCAGCTTGTACATGACAAAGAATAAGAGTCGCCTGTACAACCTAGTGTGTTATGTCTAGATCAACCCCAGTTTCCTCCTAAGAGAGAAAGAGAAATGGGGTTTAACGTCCACTCGACACAAACTAGGTCATTTCGGGACTAACATATGGTTCAATTGTATTTCAATAATTCGCTTGCGCTTAGGGGTCTTTAGCAGGGGGAAGAAACCGGAGAACCTGGAGAAAACCCACGAGGTTGGACAGGCGACCCTACTCCTTGTCACTAGACAAGGACAACTACACAAAAGCGAATTATTGAAATATTTAGTCATGCAATGACCTATTCTATGTCGAGTTGAGTTAAACCCAATTTCTCCTTCTCTTTTAGACCAAAGGCCAACATCCGGCTCACCAGCCCAATAGTTTTAAATAGACAACAACGATAATAAATTGGTTATGTATAGATTTTATTTATTTCTTGAGGCAGAATTAAATATTTCTAAAATATCCACTCTAACCGATAATGGTCGAACCAGCCTCGCTTATCCTAAATACAACTGCACCCTCGGTTGGTATGTCTGTATATTTATACGTGTGCCTGCCAATGGTGACTCGGAAAGTTTGTTTACTGGTCCAGCTGTCGTTGATAACGATCAAGATTATGTCACCATTAGGATTTTTAAAAGCAACCGAATGAAGAGTTCCTCCATCTCCAAGGTCACTTGTCGATTCTAGACGTATTGCGTTTCTGTGTACGAATTTCGTGAAGTGCTGTATGATATAATATTCGATGTTTTTATCGAAACCAGATTTGTCGTTGCGAACAGTAACGACGCCACGACAGTCCTTGCAACCACATCCACGTGAACATCCAGGTGTAGTCAATACTGGGCCGTGGTTTTCATCCAAAGCTAAATTCCATAACAGAACAGTCCTGGCAAATACCCGAGGTTGTCCAACAAACAGATTGACGAAGTTCCATCGGAAAACTCGCTTCCACGTGGTGTCACTACCACTTCCGGTACATTCGGTGAAATAGATATCGCGATCAGGATGCGCGTTGACTACCTGTGCCGGAGACTTTCTATCACCACCATAACAATGGAAGGCTGAACCAGAGATATAGCGCTTGGCTGTATGATCGTTGAGAACACTGATGGGATATTCTGGATGATCCCAATTATGATCGTAGATGATGATTTTAGTGTGTATATTGGCGCTAGCAAACTTTGGACCCAGCACCTTTACAAAATCTCGTTCATCTGGAGCACCTAACTTCATGGTCGGATATCCATCGGCTTCAAATCCCGGTTCATTCTGAATAGTCATGGCATAGATGTTGACACCTTCATGTTGATAAGCTTGAATAAATTTTACAAGGTACGTAGCATAGGTATCTGCATATTTCATATTGAAAGAACCACCATTTAGAGATGATCTTTGGTTGTTCCAATATGGAGCCCATTTCATCCATGCCGGAGCACTCCATGGTGATGCTATTATCTCTAAATGTGGGTTCAAGCTGAGGGCTTGCTTCAAGATTGGGATCATGTACTGTTTGTCCTTGTTTATGCTGAAATCGTTAATATTGCCGGAATCGGCATACGTGTAGGGTTGATTCGGCACGAAGTCAGAACCATCTATCGGCATCCTGATTACATTTATACCAGCCCCTTTAGAGGATGAAAATAAGGATTCCATGATCTGATTTCTATGGGGACTATTGAAGATCAGATATGCGGAAGAATGCGTCATTGCGGCACCAAATCCCAACATCTTCTGGTGATGTTTGTTCAGGTCGACTGTTATATGAGATCCACTTGAATCTGAGCTAGGGGAGAGACATCCTTGTTTAAAGAAATTCTTCTGCTGAGGGAATCCTTCAACGTCACTTACCCAAAACTGTAAATCACTGCAAACAAAAATGGAGAAAATATATTGTTTTAAATCTGCATAAAATAAATCTAATTCATTTAAAGGGGTATTAGATAAGATTTAGATGGGCCGTTCTCGCTATATTAGCTAAAAAAAACCCCATAGATCATGAAAACGGAACATCCTGAAACTTTCAGTTAAATTGCTTCACTCTGAACCGAGATATTAGAGATTCAATTTTAGGCTAACCTCGATCGTCATTACTACTGTTGGTACGATAATAAACACAGTTTCAATTATTCATTTGTATGTTAAATCATCCATCACAAAACGTATTCACTAAATATCGCAGGCTAACGATGACATTCAGAGTTGATTATGGTCTGGATAAGTTAATTAATGTCTAATTAATAATTTATATAACATTTCAGGTTTAAACAAAGATCTACAGTGGACATGTTTAAGGTTATCTTGTGTTTTATTTCCGTTTTTTTTTAAACTGACATCTGACAATTTATAATCGACAACTTTCAACTGGCTCCGGGTGTGTAATTGATAAATTATATGCATTGAGTCCTTGTTCTCACCCAGTAGAGTATCAATGAGGTCAAAGTTTGCCGAGCGACCGTCAAGGACTGGGCGTGGATGGATTGATTAAGATACCCAACGTGTCCATGAGATGAATGATTAACTGGATTCGTGTCATCTGTTACTAGACATTAAGGTCAGAAAACATCGCACACAAGCATTGATTGGTTCGATAATTCATTGAACTCAAACTTGAATTGATTTGGCCTTGAGTTACCTAGCCGTTACGAGTATTTGTAAAAGAGAGAGAGAGAAATAGGGTTTAACGTCCACTCGACATAAACTAGGTCATTTCGGGATTAACACATGGTTTAATTTTATTTCAATAATTAGCTTGAGCGTAGGAGTCTTTAGTTTGGGAGGAAACCGGAGGACCCAGAGAAAACCCACGAGGTTGGACAGCGACCTACTCCTTGTCACGTACAATCGGGGAATCGAAACCCCGCCAGTTGACTCAATCGCAGACCTTATGATACAGCGCGCACGTGCTAACCATTCGGCCATCCAACCCCCCAGTATTTGTAAATTTTACACGTGTAAGACCTTTGGCTGTAGATCATTTACATATAATGTAGCACAATCTACGTCTACATCTACCGACATTACCGTCTTTAAACATAAACTCAAAACCTACTGTTTTATTGTTGATAGTTATAACTATATCCTGTAAAGTTTGTCAGCGCTTTGAGCATACACTACTATTGTAGTCTAGCGCTTTATTAGAACCCTTATTATTATTATTATAACCCGTACGTTTTATGAGCAGTATAGATATGATTTAATATTACACCTACCTTTCTTTGCAGCAAATGACGGCGCCAAATGAATACAATAATATATAGATAGACCCCAAGTACTTCATTATTACTATAATTAAAAACAAAGTTATAATTTAACTTATTTCGAAAGTAATAGAAGATAATGCGCCGGTATCTACATCTACGGACGGTCACAGCGTCTTTAAACATAAACTCAAAACCCATTTACTCCAGAAAGTTATCAAATATTTGCCTGTCAGGGGATCTTTAAAACGGGACCTCGGTGTTTCGACACGACTATTGTCTTTACCAGCCCCTCCCCACCTCCTCTTTAACTGCTGACAATGAGGAAGAAGTTGAAACATCCACAAAAGGAATCTTCATCAGCCTACACTGGGATTGAACCCGAGTTAAAGAGCCATTCTTCATACTCACTGGGCAACACGCCACTCCGTGTCACGCAAGGGCAGGGGACAGCGCTGCTTTTGCATTGAGGCATAAAATCTCGTTGGGCACAATATTTATATCGAAAGGGGAAAGGGTCATGCTGGAGTCGATTACTAGCATATCGAAACTAATGACACTGATTTAACATTATGATTATGGCTACACCCATGACTCAAAGCGCTCCATTGTGCCCGCTCGTGTCACAGAGCTAAATACAAGCGGAGAGGGAGAGAGAAATGGGGTTTAACGTCCACTCGACACAAAGTAGGTCATTGCGGGACTAACATTATGGTTTAATTTTATTTCAATAATTCGCTTGCGCGTAGGGGTCTGTAGCAGTGGGATGAAACCGGAGGACCCGGAGAAAACCCACGAGGTTGGACAGGCGACCCTACTCCTTGTCACGTACAACCGAGGATTCGAAACCACGCCAGTTGACTCAATGACAGGCCTTATGATACAGCGCGCTCGTGCTAACCATTCGGCCATCCCCCCACCCCCCCAAAAAAAATACGAGCAATATAAAGCAATACATCAATGCCAAGTTAATACCGAACAACCAAAAAAATAGACAGAAGCAAGGAATTACCTGTCTTTCACGTAGAATTCAGTTGTTGATATGTTGTATATATTATCTTATCTGGAACCTATCTACGCTATCTACATGCAACTCTTTAGAGATTATGACCTTGAACATACTTTATAGGCATACAGTCATACAGGGTTCACACCACTGATGTCAGTTCTCAGCTGACAAAATCTCTCATTTCAAATCCGACAACTGATATTAAAAGATGAAGTATGTAAGGGCTAAATCTGCCTACTCGTTATAAATTATGACCTTGAAATACTTTATAGGTATATATAGTTTCTCATTATAAACCACATACAACAAATAAAATAACACAATATTGACTTTGTGACGAAACTAGCAAACAGCTGTATTTAGTATAATCAAACACAAACGGTTGTGTTGCATGGGACCAGAGTGTGGGCTTGTTTACAAGGATTGGTAGCAGAGTCAGAATGGGATTGTTAACAAAAGTTTGGGGTTTGGGTCAAAGACCCGAATATATTTATTAACATGAGTTATTATATAAGTGATGTACATGAAACGGAATACGTCGATTCAAGATCAAATTAAGAATTACGATCAAATTAAGAATTATGATCAAATTTAGAATTAAGATGGCTGCGATGACGTCATGGGCCATATAGTTCGCTCGTGCTCGTTGCATCTGTATATATTACACGTTAGTGCCCCGTCATGGTTTCGTTTCAGGACCTAGGTCAGAAGATGCACGGGAACAGGACAGGCAATTGAGCCCAAAGGTCTCGGCGCATTGGATTCATTGTCACAACAAAGAGTGTTACTCGTGCACGGGAACAGGACAGTCAATTGAGCCCAAAGGTCTCGGCGCATTGGATTCATTGTCACAACAAAGAGTGTTACTCGCTTTGAAATGATTGTTTTATACTTACAGCTGAATAAACCATCATTTTCTCTGTGAGTGTTCCAGCAATCTTCATCTTCATATTCTTTATCATCTGTTTTAGTAAGGGACCTGATATTTTAATATGAAATAAACGTTGAGAAAATCACACGAAACCCGTCATAATGAAACACGTTGTTTAAAGTTTTGGTAGCTATTGTAACCTAAACGAGCTTAGTAAAGACGACGGTGTAATTTAAATCTACAAAGTTCAATTTATTACCCAATTAATTCTACAAGCTAAGTTAAATCAAAAAGGTTAAGTTAAATCTCCAAGCGAATTTCAATATCCAAGCTAAGTTAAATCAATTAGGTAAGTTCGATCTACAAGCTAAACTCAATCTAAACGTTAAATCTAAAAGCAAAGTTCATTCTACAAGCTAAGCTCAATCTAAAAGTTAAATTTAAAAGGAAAGTTCAATATACTAGATTAATCAACATGCTAAGTTCCATCTACAAACAAAGTGCAAGTTCAATCTACAAGCTAAGTTAAACATACATTATGCTAGAGCTAAAATTGCCCATTGCAGGTCGATCTTAAGGCCTGAATGTTATCTACATTATTAATTAGATATTAATTAACGTATCCAGCCCATAATTAACTTTCGATGCCATCGCTAGCCTGCGATATTTACTAGAGTTGAATACAGTTTGTGATGGATGATTTAACGTCAAAATGGATAATCGAGACTTCGTTTTTTATCTTACCAACTTTAGTAATGATAATCCAGTGGAGCAATTTGACTGAACTTTTCAGCTTATTCTCTTGACGTTATCTATTATTAACTATTATAGCGAGAACTGTCAGCTCTTTATCTAATCTCCCATAATGACTCTTTAACTTTACAAACTAAGTTAAATCTCCAAGCTAAGATCAATCTACAAGCTAAGTTCAATCTACGAGCTACGTTAAATCTACCAGCTACGTTCAATCTACAAGCTAAGTTAAATCTAAAAGCTAAGTTAAATCAACACGCTAAGTCCAATCTACAATTTAGTGCAATCTAAAATGTCAGTCCAATATACGAATTAAGTAAAAGATACAAATAGTCTCGTTCACCCAGGACGGCCATATTATATTGTGATTTTTCTGGTAACAGAGATAAAAGTATGAAATGAAAAGAAATAAAATGGGGTTTGACGTTCTACTGTTCTGCTCCCAACTGGGCTAATGAAGACGGGCATACGCCATACAGTGTACTATGAGGTAAATACGGCCTACTCTTATATCGAATTCCAACTGTCAAGGGATATTTTACGTGCACGCCACCTTGGTTTCTCTACACGGGACCTCGGTTTTTCGTCCTATCCGAACGACTAGACAGCTGTCGTTGTCAGGTACTCTGTCATGCATCACTGACAAGGGGGAACCACGTCGGAAAATCTGTATGTATAGTTAAAAAATCAGGTTGTCATGTAAATATACTCTAAAGACAATTTTGCTTGGTAAGCGACATTTCCTTTTATTTGGATTGTCATCCAGTCGGTAGGGGAGATCTTTATTGTTCATCTAACCCGATCCTTGGCAGTTGTTATGGTGCATGATATCTTTAAAGGATCTTGTACCGTATGTTTTATGCGCCATTGTTTTCTACCCTTTTGCATACCCATTGTTGTTGATTTTTTTTGGTCTAGAATGGACGTAGAGGGTTTGAATTAAAATTTTCTGCCATGTTTTGGTAAATATTCATGATTTGGGTGATGAGGTGGGGGGGGGGGGGGGGTTACCGAAGTTAACAGGTTGGTTACGGTGATGTGATATGTACGGCGAATAATTACATGTTTTTAGTATGCTGCTTCAAGTTTGGGTATCTCCAAATTTTGGTGGTCAATCTCATACAAATTTTGGTGCAAAGATATGACCATTTGATTCTCTTCTTGTAGTGAAAAACATTCGGCCAAACGATAATTTTGGGAAAAGTTGGAGCCGGGCAAAGACAAAGAATTAATTTTGAAGTCAATGTGGAAAGTAATGGTGGTCTGCATCCTAGATTACCATGGGCGGAACAAACGTCAAGGGAGATAACTGACGTACTAAATACTATGAACATAACACCGTGGTCTTTATGGGACTAACACACGAGAGTTTTATGTTTCTGTGGTTATGCGTGCAATGAGGTATTATGGCCACTCACTCTGGTTTTCAGTTTTTTCTAGGAAAACCGTTGGAACAGCATTCATGGGAGATAACTGTCATAGTAAATATGGACTTAAACTAGTAATTATGTAGTGCGAGTTATAAATAGACAATTTTTCCCTTAATTTTTTTCTCCCCTCTTTCTGAATTTTTGGGTTGACTTTTTGGGATCAAATTTGTAATTTCACAGCAGTTTAGGGTAATACAGATGATTTTACAGCGGAGGGATAGGGGGTGTAACGTGTCTTTCTGCAGACCAATCATTGTGTCGGAAGTGAGGTTTTCGCCTCAGTCAACATCAAATCCCCGTAGCAAAAAATCTAAACCGTCAATCCCCTACAAAATTATATGATGAGGAGATTGCCAAATGTGGTCCCCGCTGTGCCTATAAAGATCGGAACGAACGGAATGTTGAGCAAAACGTTACAGCCTGTGATATTACAGCCATTTAACATTGAAGTCAATGGGCAAATTATTGCTAGTCTGAATCCGTACTCCATGTCACGTACTCCTTGTCACGCAAGTTGACTCAATGACAGGCCTTATGGTAAAGCACTCGGCCATCCCCCCCCCCCCCCCCGCCTAACAACAAAGAGAACAGTTACAACAATAATAAACAGATCGTCGCATACTGGAGTATGTTAGATAGAGCCAGGACGGTCCTAGAGTAATTCATACCCGGGGAGGGACTTGTCAGGGTATCGAGTCCAAATAGGGTTATAATGCAGAACACATATTTGCGAGATGGGGGTGCACTCGTTTTTCGACTACCAATAATACAAATTTAAAGTTGAGATGTTTTAGCTTCTTAGGGTTTAACATCCTAATGTTCTGGGCTATGAGGTAATTTTCCAGGGCAGCGGCACTACAGCCTACTTTTTTTTCAAAAATCAACTGTCAAGGGCGCTTTTACGTGCATGCCAATGTGTACACGAGATCTCGGTTTTTCTTACCTCCCATAAGACTAGACACTGTTCTTTGCAAGGGCCTGTACCACTGACAAGAGGAAACCCCATCGGAAAATCCAG